ACTCTCCAGAGTGGACTCTGCTCTTCTGTTTATGAGAGAGTCCCCTGCTCTCACATGGATAATCTGTCAAAGGGTCCCTGGCCTTGCTCTTTCCTCCTCCTATGTCAGGCCTTGTATTAGGAGACATGCTCTTCGATGGGTCTGGTCGATGTACAGTGGGGCCCCCAGCCTAGGTCTGACTCAGGCCTCACAGCTTTCTCCATGAGGTGCTTTTTAAGTTGGAGTTCTGGGTCCGGCTGGGGAAGGAGTGGCACATATTGCACTTGGTAGAGATATGCACTTCTCCAAGGCAGTACAGCTATCACTGGTGGTCATTGCTGACCAAAAAGGAGCAGGGACAGGAGACATTATTTCTAAATACCGGTATTCTGGGCATCATCTAATTCCTGTACAGGGGAGGCAGGAGGTACCCCAGTGAGGGGATTTAAACTACTCACTAACTATACTAATAAAACCCATTAACAATACCTACACTGCAGAGCTAAAACAGTAAAATCTTTGACATATTTACAGTTTTGAAGACAAGGACGAGGCTGAAGAGAAGGGAGAAGCTCCAGACACTGGAGATTCTGAGTCAGGCTAGGAGGCAATAAGAAGGTACTTTAGAGGCAGCTGATGCGCACAGCCTCTTATGGCCTTGGAGTGGAGCATGAGGATGGCAAAGGCAGAAGCGTAGGCCAATGGACACTGCTCGCAATAACTCTCTGGTCTCAGACGCATTTGCAGCGCATGCATATCCACAGTGGATGACACATAGGGGCCAGCACTCGAAGAAGAAACAGAGCACAGCCATAGATTCTAGGACTGGAAGGGACCTCAAGAGGTCATCCAGTCCAGTCCCCTGCCCTCATGGCAAGACCAAATACTGTCTAGACCTAGGAAATCTCGTAACTGGTTCCTGGAAATTCAGCACAACAGAGCATGGGCTTAGGGTGGCTTTATGTTCTCTGGTATCTTTTGAGTGACTGTTGCAGCTGCCAGTAGTATCAGACTGTGTCCAATGGGGATCCACTGCCCACCACATCACTTAATTGTGGTGTGGTAGATAGTGAATATTGTGAGTGCTCAACTCTTTGGAGTGTGTATTAGGGAAAGAAAGAATCCACAGAAAAATAGTAAGTGCACAAACAACACCCCCAAACCTTCCTCTGTGTTTGTAGGTTAGTTTCTGTGTGGCAGAGCATAACAGATGACGTTTTAAATGCTCAAAAGAAATTTAATAAAACAATCTTTGTAACCTTTGGGGATGCTCAGTGTATGAATGATTAGATACAAACTCTTCCAAGACACTCTGAGAAGAAGACTGTTACGTGTCACTTGGAAAGTCATTCTCCTCGATAAGCAATATGGATTCAGATTTGACCTGTGGCCTAGCCTTGAACACCTCTTCCTCTTGGGAGTTTGAGGTGTTTCTATGTGTCTTTAGAGAGGCACTGCCCTCAAAATTACCTGCTATGAAATCTCTGATTTGGTTTATGACCAGGTGCATACCCAACTCCCTGAACTGGCACCTTCAATAGTTTGATACAGTTCCCTAGAGTTTGAATGAAATCATTTTTGCTTTGATAAATAAAACCATTAAAACGATCTAAAAATGGAAACACTGGGAATCAGATTTTGCCCCAAAATTGGGTCTCATTCTCATCGGAAACGTGGCTAACTCCCAGTATTACTTCCAGCATCTGTGTCATAGCTGGTAAAATTCTCAAGAACATGACGCGGGAAAGCGTTAGCACAATGAGATGGATTGTGAGCAGCAGAACCACGACAAGGTCCTTCCCCATGTCTGCTGTGCATTCACACCCTGGTGAACTGCTAGAACCAAGAACAAGGCTGCCCTCTGCCAGTGTGAGGTGCCAGTTACTCAGGGAGGCTCTGACTTATCAGGAAACAAAAGGAAATGACATAGTTTGATTCCTTGCTAGGGTGAGGAACATATTACTAAAAGGAACAGTCACTAGAGTGAAACACCCACAAGCTGCATGGAAACTTTTTAAAAACACCATAATAGAGGTTCAAACTATATGTATACCCCCAAATTAAAAAAATAAATAAAAAGGGAAGAGGACCCAAAAAATGCAACCGTGCCTGAACAGAGTAAAAGAAGCGGTTAGAGACAAAAAGGCATCTTTTAAAAACTGGAAATCAAATAATACTGAGGAAAACAGAAAGGAGCATAAATTCTGGCAAGTCAAGTGTAAAAGTATAATTAGGTAGGCCAAAAAAAATTTGAACCAACTAGCAAAAGATTAAAAAATTGCTGTTCGTTTTTGTAAGTACATCAGAAGCAGGAAGCTTGCCACATAATCAGGGGGGCCACTGGTTGACGGAAGTGCTTAAGGAGCACTCAAAGAAGATAAAGCTGTTGCAGAGAAGCTAAATGAAATCTCTACATTGATCTTCACTGCAAATGATGTGAGGGAGATTCCCACACGAACATTCTTTTTAGTTTATAAATCTGAGAAATTGTCCCAGACTGAGGTATCAATAGAGAAGGTTTTGGAACAAATTGATAAATTAAATGGTAATAAGTCACCAGGACCAGGGATATTCACCCAAGACTTCTGAAGGAACTCAAATATGAAATTGCAGAACTACTAATGGTGGTAGGTAGCCTAGCGCTTAAATCAAATTCTGTACCAGATGACTGGTGGATAGCTAACGTAATGCCAATTTTTTAAAAATGCTCCAGAGGTGAACCTGTCAATTACAGGCCAGTAAGTCTAATTTCAGTACCAGGCAAATAAGTTGAAACTATAGTAAAGAACAGAATTATCAGACACACAGATGAATATGATACATTGGGGAAGAGTCAGCACAGCTTTTGTAAAGGGAAATCATGCCTCACCCATCTATTAAAATTCTTTGAGGGTGTCAACAAACACGTGGACAATGGTGATCCAGTGGATACAGTGTACTTGGACTTTCAGAAAACCTTTGACAAGGTCCCTCACCGAAGGCTTTTAATCAAAGTAAGCAGTCATGGGATAAGAGGGAAGGTCCTCTCATGGTCAGTAACTGGTTAAAAGATAGGAAACAAAGGGTAGGAATAAATGGTTAGTATTCATAGTGGAGAGAGGTGAATATCAGGGTCCTCCAGGGATCTGTACTGGGACCAGTGCTGTTCAACATATTCATAAATGATTTGGGAAAAGGGGTAAACAGAGACATGGCAAAGTTTGCAGATGGTACAAAACTAAAAATAGTTAAATTCAAAGCAGACTGGGAAGAGTTACAAAGGGATCTCGCAAAACTAGGTGACAGGGCAACAAAACAGCAGATGAAATTCAAGCTGATAAATGCAAACTGGAAAACATAATCCCAACTATATATACAAAATGACGGGGTCCAAATTAGCCTTTACCACTCAAGACAGATCTTTAAGTCTTTGTGGATAGTACTCTAAAAACGTCTAGTCAATGTGCAGCAGCAGTCAAAAAGTTAACCAGAATGTTAGGAACCATTAGGAAAGGGATAGACAATAAAACAGAAAATATCATAATGCCATTATAGAAATCCAAGCTACACCCATACCTTGAATACCATGTGTAGTTCTGGTTGCCCCATCTCAAAAACGATATATTAGAATTCGAAAAGATACAGAGAAGAGCAACAAAAATGATTATGGGTATGGAACAGCTTCCATATGAGGAGAGATTAAAAAGACTGCAACTGTTCAGTTAGAAAAGAGATGACAAAGAGGGGATATGATAGAGGTCTATAAAATCATGAATGGTGTGGAGAAAATGAATAAGAAAGTGTTATTTTCCCCTTTACATAAGACAAGAAGCAGGGGTCACCCAATGAAATTAATAGGCAGCAAGTTTAAAACAAACAGAAGGAAATACTTCTTTACACAACGCACAGTCAACACGTAGAACTCATTGCCAGGAGATGTTGAAAAGTGTAACTGTGTTCAAAAAGGAATTAGATAAGTTCCTGGAGGACAGGTCCTTCAATGGCTACTAGCCAAGACAGTCAGGGACCCATGCTCTGGGTGTCCCTAAACCTCTGATTGCCAGAAGCTGGGATTGGATGACGGGGATAGATCACTCAATAAATTGAAGCGTCTGGCACCAGCCACTGTTGGAAGACAGGATATTAGCTACATGGACAATTGGTCTGACCCAGTATGGCCATTCTTATGTTTAAGAGGAAACTGAAGACACAAGGTTCCACCCATGCATCATGGTCTCCAAGCATCAGGTCTTCCACTTGCTTGGTTTCAGATTAGTGTAATATCACTCCACGGCATTTGAGCAGGACACTTCATAGTGAATATGGCTAGGGGTACCCATTCTATCTACCAGTCTTCATTTCAATACCTTAGAGGACTGACATTCACACACTACATTTTTGCCATATTCTGTGCTCTCGGCACTCATATAACCCATTTAAACTGGTCTTTGTTTCCCCTTAAGAATGATATGGCATCATAAACAAGATGTGCAGGGGCCCAACTTCATCATGCTGTTGTGCTGACTGGAGGTAAGTTAGCAGAGTTAGCTCCTCATATGCACCAATTGTCAACTACTCTCTGAAGTCGGAGGCTGTTTCTTAGGTAAACAAGATTTCAGGTATGGGATAAACAGAGGGGATGTCACACAGACTGCACAGCAGCCCTGGGGATTCTCCTCCCAAACAGATAGGAATACTGGGGCAATGGCCTAAGCAGCCTCTCAGCCTTTCCATTCAAGGCCTTCAACAAGAGGGATGGTATTTAGCACTAGGCAAGAATCTGTGTGCTCTGCTGCTCTGGACCTGCACTGAGCTCAACTTAGTCAGCTGAGTTGAGGTATCAATCATTACACAAGTCAGGCCTCTATATCAGATCCATTCCGAGGAGTACCAGCAGCATCAGAGACACTAGCTCCTCTGGGCTTGTCTTCACCATGAGTAATGGTGGCTAAGGCCTTTCAAACCTGTGGTGTGAAATGTCCTTCCCTTCCCACATTTGGGACCATGGATTAGATTCTGCCAACTGTCAGGAAGATACTCACAACATCAGGTGGCTTCTTTCAAGTTCACTTTTGTCTAAGGCACCTCCTGTTAGATCGGCCTGATCCTGGGGCTTCACCTCAGAGTCCTTGATCGCAGCTTCAGATGGAGATTCAAACACTTCATCGGGGTATGTAGAGAGCTCCTCATGGAGGACTCCTTCCTGGGCAAAGAAACATAAGTCCTGTCAAAGACATTCCGGTGACTTATTAGAGCAAAGTAACTCAAAAGGAAGCTCTTGCAGGAGCGGCACCTCTCCCTTGAGCCCACGCATACTGCTGGGTGATAGCGTTCTTACAGCCTTTGGCTACCAGGACAAAGCCAGCACTGCTCCCCTTACCCGAGCAAAAAACGAGGTGTCCAACTCATCCGGGAAATCCACTGTGTCCTCCTCCAAGAAACTAGCTGGGGTGAAGCTGCGCCGCTGAGCCCTCCTCAGGGTACTGTCCTTCACAGACCGGCCCTGGAAGAGAAGGGAATAGCATTCAGTCACAGAGAAATTTGACCCCACAAACACTTAAGAGTTCTGAAGACCCTGCTTCTTCAGGGGCTTAGCTGTGTCAGGGAGTCACCAAACTAAGTGCAGTAGATCCACCAGCCACCTGACACCCTTCTAGTGAGACTTGTGAATTCCACATACCAGTATTTCCAAGATGGCAGCACCATCCCTTTCAACTGAGCTAAATGGTGCCTTCTGCAGTATACGAATGCTCTAATGTGCTTCTTACAAAGGACCATCACCCATTCAGAGCCTAGCTTTTCCAAACGTCTCATCCAATCAGAGCCTAGAGCTTACCTACTGCTAACCAAATTCTGTAAAGAACATTTGAGCCTGGTTGTTGTCAGCCCTGAAGCACTCAGACTGACAAACTCTTGGCAGGTCTTTATAAAACTTACAGGTAATCTGGTCTACTCCACTTCCTTCTAGACATGGGCAGGAGACACAGTGCAAAGTGTACTTATAGTCAGAACAGTGACTTCCCAAAATGACATAGTGGAGTCCCATTTTATAACTCCTCCCACCTCAGGAATCCCATAGAGGGTGCCTGAACCAGAGACCTCCACCCTTCCCCACAGGAATCCCCCTCACTCAAAAAATACCTTCACCAGGGCCGCTGCTGCTCGGAAGCTCATTTTAGCCACTGATTCCCGTTTCCGCCGTCGTGGTAAGCGATTGAACCCAGACCGAGAGCTGGTGAAGGAGCACAGTGATGTGGCACCTGGAGTGATTGGTGTGTGAGGGATGCTGTATCCATCATTATCATCAGCCATACGGAATGCTCGGCCTCGTGCTAAAGGGTCTACAATCTGCAGTCGAAGACAGGATCTCAGTTACTGTGAGAAACTGGGGAGATCTCAGCATACACTCTCAGGACAGAAGCGAAGGTCTGTGCCTCATTCTTGGGGCCCTTTTCTCCCCTCAACAAACACAAAGAAACATAGGAACTGCCAGAATGGATCAGACCAGGGCTTCATCAAGCCCAGTATCCTGTCTCTGACAGCTGCCAGCACAAGATGCTTCAGAGGAAGGTGTGGGATAATTTGTACTCCATGAAGGTCACACCCTGAGTCCTGAACATGAGGTTTTACATTCCTTCCAAAATGTTTATCATCATTAACTATAACAAATATGGATAACAAGACTATCCAGGAGTGTCCAATCCTCTTTGACCCTTTTTAAATTCTTGGCCTCACCAACATCATGTGGCAGTGAATTCCACAGTCTAATTATCTGTTGTGTGAATGAGAGTTTTTTCTAGGCCCTTGATCATTCTTTGGCTTCCCTTCATAGATTCCAAGGCCAGATGGAACCACTGTGATCATGTAGTATGACCGTCTATTTAACACAGGTCAGAGAACTTCCCCAAAATAATTCCTAAAGTAAATTCCTTCTCTGAGACCCCTCTAACTGTTCAATATCCTTTTTGAGATGGAGTGACCAGTGCTGCATACACTGTCGAGATGGGCTGATTTACACAATGCATAACAATGTTTACCTTAGCATTTTCCATCCGGTATCCTAACATCTTGTTTGCTTTCTGGACCACAGCTGAGCAGAGGTCTTTATTGAGCTGTCCTCTGTGATGCCCTGGTCCTTTTTGTGATTTAATATAGCTAACTTAGAACCCTGCAAGATGTGTAAATAGTTCACATTTTCCCCTCCAATGTGCACTACTTAGCAGCACATATCAGCATTGAACGTAATCTACATTCACCCACCTTAGTTAGGTCTCTGAAATTCCTCCATTCCTAAGCAGCAGAACACAAAAACTCCCTTCTGGTCATCACTACTGTTCTTTAGAGCTGGTCAAAATTTTTAAGCTGAAAATTGTTTTCTCCAAAAATTGTTGTTTTGTTGAACATAATTTTTTTTGTAGAAAAATGTCATCTTCAAATATATTGTTCAATATTTCAATGGAAATTTTTGAAATAAACTGAAATTTTTCATTTTGTTTAGTTTCAAATTGCATTTTTCATTTCATTTTAGATTGGGGGGGGGAGGGTGTTTCCTCTCGCTTCCTTTCGGTTTTGGTTTTTTAAATACCCCTTCCCCCTTTTTCCCCCACCAGAACATGACTTCAGTGGGACAAGCTGAGAAAGTAAAGTAAAGCACATGTGTGTTTGCAAGATTGGGGCCCCATTTTTGAAAAGGTACCTACCTCACTTTGGGGCTAAGGTAACCCAACTGGAAGCCCAAGGGGGCAGCAGGAAGGAGTTCTGCAGAGCAGCCCTTGGCTGCTGGTTACAGGATCCCTGGGCTGGAATCTGATATAGTGGGAGGGGCCAGGTTCCCTACCAGCCACCAGGGAAGGTGGCATGAAGCCCCTGAGAAAGGGACGTGGATGACAGAGAGCCCTGAGAAAAGGGAGTGAGGACACAAGGCCCAGTGTCAGAGCTGAAGATCTGATATACGGTCTTGGACTTGGACTTTTCTGGTACCTCGCCAGAGGTGGACTCAATTGTGACCTGGCCAGAGGGCCGAGTTTTAGGAAAAGAGAGCACTGCAGAGCCAAAGCAATGGGCAGCTGGGTGTGCCAGATGGGGGGCGTGACACTACACCGTGCTTAGCAACAAGGAGGAACTCCACAAACGAGTGATCTCCTTCACATCCACAGAAATTTTTCACAGAAAATTTCATAGATATTTTTCATCTATTGCTGACTATTTCCAAAATACGGAATTGAGTCAATAATTTCTTTAATTTTTTTTTTTAATCCTACCGAGTGACTAAGCTGACCAAATTTTTTCCCCAATATTGCTTGTTTAGAAAATGGAAAACGATAAACATACTGATTAGAATTTTGGATAATAAATTTGAAAAATGAACCAATTCTGAAACCTTCTGCGAAATTTGTCAATTTCTCAACCAGATCTACTTGTAACTAGGGCTTTCAAGTGATTAAAAAAATTAATCGCGATTAATCACACTGTTAAAGAATAACAGAATACCATTTATTTAAATATTTTTGGATCTTTTCTACATTTTCAAATATATTGATTTCAATTATAACACAGAACACAAAGTGTACAGCGCTCACTTTATATTTATTTTCGATTACAAGTATTTGCAATTTATAAAAACAAAAGAAATAGTATTTTTCAATTCACCTAATACAACTACTGTAGTGAAATCTCTTTATCATGAAAGTTGAATTTACAAATGTAGAATTATGTACAAAAAACTGCATTCAAAAATAAAACAATGGATAACTTTAGGGCCTACAAGTCCACTCAGTCCTACTTCTTGTTCAGGCAATCGCTCAAACAAGTTTGTTTACATTTGCAGGAGATAATGCTGCCCACTTCTTGTTTACAACATCACCTGAAAGTGAGAACAAGAGTTCACATGGCACTGTTGTAGCTGGCGTCGCAAGATATTTACATGCCAGATGTGCTAAAGATTCATATGTCCCTTCATGTCTCAACCACCATTCCAGAGGACATGCATTCACGCTCCTGACAGGTTCTGCTCGATAACAATCCAAAGCAGTGTGGACCGACACATGTTCATTTCCATCATGTGAGTCAGATGTCACCAGCAGAAAGATTGATTTTCTTTTTTGGTGGTTTGGGTTCTCTAGTTTCCACATCAATGTGTTGCTCTTTTAAGACTTCTGAAAGCATGCTCCATACCTAGTCCCTCTCAGATTTTGGAAGGCACTTCAGATTCTTAAACTTTGGGTTGACTGCTGTAGCTATCTTTAGAAATCTCACATTGGTACCTTCTTTGCGTTTTGTCAAATCTGTAGTGAAAGTGTTCTTAAAACGAACATGTGCTGGGTCATCATCCGAGACATTTATAACATGAAATATATAGCAGAATGCAGGTAAAACAGAGCTGAAGACATACAGTTCTCTCCCAAGGTGTTCAGTCACAAATTTAATGAACACATTTTTTTAACGAGCGTCATCAGCATGGAAGCATGTCCTCTGGAATGGTGACCAAAGCATGAAGGGGCATACGAATGTTTAGCATATCTGTCATGTGAATGCCTTGCAATGCCAGCTACAAAAGTGCCACGCAAATGCCTGTTCTCACTTTCAGCTAACACTGTAAATAAGAATCGGGTAGCATTATGTCCCATAAATGTGAACAAACTTGTTTGTCTGAGTGATTGGGTGAACAAGAAGTAGGACTGAGTGGAGATGTAGGCTCTAAGTTTTACATTGTTTTGTTTTTGAGTGCAGTCACGTAACAAAAAAAATCTACATTTGTAAGTTGCACTTTCACGACAAAGATTGCACTACAGTATTTGTATGAAGTGAATTAAAAATACTATTTCTTTTGTTTATCATTTTTACAATGCAAATATTTGTAATCAAAAATAATATAAAGTGAGCACTGTACACTTTGTATTCTGTGTTGTAACTGAAATCAATATATTTGAAAATGTAGAAAAACATCCAAAATATTTAATAAATTTCAATTGGTATTATATTGCTTAACAGTGTGATTAAAACTGCGATTAATCGAGATAAAATTTTTTAATTGCCATTAATGTTTTTGAGTTAATTGCGTGAATTAACTGTGATTAATCAACAGCCCTACTTGTAACCTTCCTGGGCAGCACACACTTGTGAAGTTACAGGATCCAGAAACATCACATTACTCCTCCACAATGCCAGAAATTAGGATTTTACTCTGTCCAACACAGCCAGAAAAAACTAATGCTGACTATGGCAGCAATTTCCATGCACTCTCCTAACCAAAAGGCTGATGAAATACAATCCTTGGCAGATTTACAAATTCTGCCAGTATAGCATATAACGCTCATTACCCCAACAGTTGTGGCCTGAAAAAGTTATAGGCTCTGATGGTTGGGCTCATAACCAAGAGTTCAACATCCAACAGCACAACATAGCCTGTCTCTTTCTATCGTTACATATAGACGTTATAAACTGCAGCAGCTACATCCGACAGACCTTACAACTTCCATGTGGCTCCAATGGGTAGGGTGGGAGAGATTATAACTTTTGTGAGGCCTGAGATGTGGTGCTCAATAACTTTACAAGTCTTTTATAAATTGGCACACAAAAGAGATTACTTTTGAGAACGAACACAAGGTTTTAGACAAAAGTTACAACTGCTGTCAGAGGACTGGATGAAATTCCAATATTAATGATCTTGACCATGAATAAATATTTTATATTTAAGAATACTTTGTTAAGGTGGTTCTGTGCCTGAGTTCTCAGCAAGGTCTAGAGCACAGGACCTGTTTGAAGCCACATGTAAACTATGAGTTGATTCAAGGGCTTTTCCAAACTGAAAAAGAAGACATTTTTCTAAGTCCCATAACTCTAAAATGGTTTGATTAAATCCAAACTTTAAAAAAATTAAAAAATCATGAGAAATTTCAAGTTTTGAGAAAGAGGAGAGAGAGCACTCAGTGGGCAAAATCAGGGTTAGACAATAGTCCATCCTTTACTATGGAGACACTACCAACCCCTTACCCTCCTTTCTCCAAGACAGGATTAGAGACTGCAGATGGAGATAGTTTCATATCCCATTTCACCATCTGGACAAGAGCAGCACTCTTAACTGATTTCATAATATCCGATCAATTACAAGGGAAATGCAGGAACTGGAAACCCTTCAGGTTAGAGCTCAAGTGCTAATGAAGTTACCTCATTTAGGTTTGTGTACAGGCAGAATCTATACTTTGGGAATACGGAGTAGGCAAGGAAGCTGGAAGCTTTACAGCTTCCCCTGGTAATTTCTGAGGGCTTGTGAGCAGAGCGTACCAGCCTGCTGTAAGAGAGCTGACACATAGGTAGCTCCTGTGAAGTCATGAGATAATATTTCTGAGGATACTGAAAACTAGGGTATTGTCTTCAGCCAGCAAAATGTGAAGAATAAAAAAGTAAGTGCATTGCATGGCAATGGGGCTATTAGTATGAAACTGCAGTTAGGGAAGATAGGGTCTAATCTGGGTATCGGAAGTAAACTGACAGTTCTCCTCTCAAAACTGCTGGATACCCCATGTTGGAAGAGACTCTGACAACCAGATTTGACTAGGAAACTGGAATCTTGCTATGGAGAATGCTGAAAAACACCTTCCACGATTACTATAATTCCTGACTAGTGCTCATATACCATTCTCACTCAGTAATGATGCCAAAGGGACAAAGACATGGCTCTCAGAGTCCTGGGGAAACAGATTGCAGAGTATAAACCATAGAGGCCCAAGTGGAAGTGACAATACTGATTATGGGAAGAGTGTGCTAAAACGTGTATATGAGATTTAGGAAACCATCCTTTCACAGGAAACTCTTCCTTTCCTGTAAGATCTTCGTTTCCATGTTTGATCTCTATAGTGTCTTCTGTACACTGATCTGAAATGTTCAGGAAACACTGAACCCTAAAGCAGGCTTAGCATCCAGCAGTCGGAGAGGGGAGAAAAGAGCCTTTTTGGTATATTCTGAAAGCTAACAAGCTCCATGGAATGGCCCTGGCTACTCCTCCACTGGACTCACCTTCTGCATGCCAAGTTGACAAGGCCCGACGTAGAGAGGAGGAGGAGTCTCTGTGCTGGTGAGTGAGATGTTATCCTGGCTAGGCAGGTCCATTTCCCGGATGACCTGAGGTTTCAGCTTCCCATATCGCTGGCTGCAATGGCGAAGGCTTTTTCTCTGCCATTTCTGAGTGGCATCACTATCCTTGCTTACGCCAAACCAATCTGCTGTGCCCCTGAAAGACACCAACACAGAAGCACAGGGAAGGTTTGGGTTCGCTTAAATCATGCAAATTAGAGATAGAAATCACACCTAGTCCATTCCCATGCAGGATTCTGCCCTACCATATATCTCACGGGCTCTTCACAGCTTGGTTTTAAATATGCAGTAAGACCAGGGCACAAAATTTTCATCAAAACATTATTACAACAAAAAATGCCTTTTCTACCAAAACAAACATTTCACACACAAAATTATTTTGGTCACATTTTTTTTTAAGTTTTTCCAGTGGAGAAAAGAAAAGAAGGGGCAGCAGGAACCAGGGGACCCATTTGTTTTGTCATTTAGTTTGATTGGAAAAATATTTTAATGAAACAATTATTTTGTTTCTTTCAACATTTTCACAGAAAATACTTACCCATGTTGGACCAGGCCTAGTCCCAAGTGGTGGGGCCATGGCCCTTTCACAGCCTCAGCCATCTCAGAGTCAGGAAGAGTTTCCTCATATTCAGTCTGAATTCATCTTTTCTTCTCCTGACTCCCCATTATTGCCCTTGTACTCTAAACAGTCCCTCTCCCTCCTTGTGGTTTCCACACTGGTACTTAGCTGAAGTTAGCATCAGCACCAGAGCGCCGCTATGCTCCCTGGGATCTCAAGTTTCCAACATATAACCTATGTCTGGGTTATAGGGGTACATGGCACTGAGCTGCCTGCTGCGGGAAGTTGAGAAAAGCTAGGAGCAGAAGGCAGTGGAGTGCAGCAATGCAGCCAAACAGGCCATCAGGATATTGCTAGGGCTCTGCTGGGAGCAGAACAGTTTGTATTGCGCTGCTGCTGCTTCATCACTGAAAGGCATCTACATTCAAAGACAAAATCCCAGAGGAAGCCAGAACATGTGAGGGATGAAATTAGGAGCATTACAAGCCACCCCAAATGCAGGAGGACAGTCATGCATTGTAGCATGCAGTGTAATTGTAGCCATGTCAGTCCCAGGACATTAGAGAGACAAGGTGAGTGAGGTACTTACTTACCTCACCACCTTGTCTCTCTAGTCATGCACTGTAAACAGTCCTAGAAATGTAAGATTTGCCACTGATCCACCATGCCTTTCCTCCAGCAGTGGCCAATACCAAAGAAGGCAAGCCACAAGAACCCATAACACACCTAGACAAGTGTTCAATGCTATGAAGAAAAATTTCATCCTAACCCCACCCAAGTGCACACATGGAAGCATGAGATCATCTGATCCTTTGCATCAACTCCTTACTGGGAGCGAGGACATCCACTGATGCTGACACACTGAGGGAGGGGTTTTAGCATGTGCTCATGGTGGAGGCCAGGGGGTATGTTCTGGCACTGAGAGGAAAGCAGACTCAGTTACTGATAGTTCATCGGGTTTATGCCTGGGCATCAAAGGGGAATATACCACTTTAGTATTAGCAGGAAGTAGGTTATGCCCTAGAATTAGAATTAGGCAGGGGCAAGATTCTGTTAATGGGGTTTGTGCCTGGGCAGTGAGAGAATAAACACTGGTTTTTGATTTATAACAAAAAGGTCCCTATCCAAACGGTCTGGATTATGTAAATACATATCCAATTCAAAGGCCTCAGACAGCCTCTCCTGTTAAACTCCAATTGTAACTCCATTCATCTCAGACTGGTCTCCTCTGTATATCCCTTCCCAGATACCCAAAACAGACGAGCCCTGCAGTTTGTCCCAAAGGTCAAAAGACTTTGACTATTTTGATCCAAGGAGGAGAGTGGGCCCTCATGGAGAATGCCCTCACCCTGCCAGCAGCCTCCTCTCTGTCATTCACAAGAGGGCTTTAGCTTAAGCAGCTTTGCAGATGGCAGCTCTGGCAGTGCAGCCCAGGAAAAGAGGTGGCTCCCATGCCATCTGGAGCTTTATAGGTTAAAACCAGCATTTTAGATTTTGCTTGGAAGTTAACCAGCAGCTAGTGTAGATTACAGAGCTCTGGTGTCATGTGCTCCGAGTGAGACACTCGATTCACCCAGCATGCAGCTGCCTTCTGCACCAGGTCCAAATGTAGCCCCCATTGCAACAGTCTAACCTTGCCCAGATGAAGTAAGCAAGGTCTGCATCCAAGAGAAGAGAGCCTGTCCTTCTGGACACATGCAGGTTGAACAAAGCCATCCTGGCCCAATGTCACTTGTTCATCCAACTAGACTCCAAATGGTGAACTCTAGTCAAGCACCAACATCTCCTCCTTGGCGAAGACATGGACAGTTTCCTCTAACAACAAACCCAGCGCTCCCCACTAGTCTTCACCAGCCTGTGGATCTCATCTGATTGGAGTGACCCACATTTCTCCTAACACCTCCAGCACCTCAGTAAGGTGATACAGGCCAAAAGTCAAGAGGAGAGAGGTGGCTTTGCACTCTGCTCAGGAGTCTATCCCCTCAGGATACTGTTCTGCTCCTACAGACACCGATAGATCAGCTCAGATCTGAACAATGTTCTCCATTTGCCCACAGTGGGAGGGACTAGAATCAGCACCCAAGCTGACAAAGCCTGAATTAACTGGGATGTCCACAGCCCAGAATAAACCCACTGACTAAGATTGTACAGGTGCTACAGTGGAGGAAAGAAACTCCCCTTACCTCCTGCGTGGGCACAGTGTAAGGCTTCAAAACAATCTTTATGGCTCAGTTGACCAGATTTGTCTCAAGGCATCCGTAACCAGCACTCTACCCATCTTCCCAGTCACTTCATTTGTCACAGGACATATGTGAACCAGGGTAATCTCTGAGGGTGAAGCCTGCACCTAGGGGCCACTCCACTGAAGGAAGAGGGCAAAGCACTGTCCTAACTAACCATGGATGGAACAATGTACTGATGGAAACGGATCATGCCTCAGAGCCCTCTGAACACCTTCCACATCCATTAGCCACCAGCAAGGCAGGCCCCTTGCCCTGACAGCAGAGGTCAAAAGAAGACAATTGCTCTGATTGAAGTCAAAGCTGTGATGTTGGGATGGAAGGGGCAGCTATCCTGTTCTATTTGTAGCACTCATTATGGAATGCCAGGGTTATATTTATGTGCACCCTGGCCCTAAAGATGTGCCCTGTGCCTTTGCAGCTTTGGAGCTCTGCTGAAGAGGTTAAAGTGAACACAGTGGGGAAGTAAGGTGTGGCCACAGGAGGCGGTTGTTGTACGCCAGTGAGACTGAGCAGGCGTGGGGCTTGGGCAAACTGCGTTTGTTTGGTTTCTTAGATAGTAACTTTAATAAAACCCCAGTTTTAAAATCCTTCCTGGTCTGGAAATGTAACATATCTCCCTTGCTACCGGAGCACCTTCCAGAGGCATATCAAGCAACGGTGACTAGCATCTGTGTCCTGTGGGTCATTCTCTTTCTCTCTTCCCCTCCCCAGGGGACTGTTTATCATTCTAAGGCATTGTGTACACACTACTCTGTTCCCATTTGCACAGCAGGGTGAAGAAGTGCACCCTGCACTTGGAGCTCCGTGGGGCTCAGTCATGCCTCTGGGAATTGGTTCTAGCTGTGAAGGAGGCCAGGAGGCTAAGGGCTTGTTAGGGAGGGAAGGAGGCTAATGGCTCATTAGTCAATTCCATGCTAGGTATTTTCAGCTTCTGAAACATTTAGTAGGTGTGATCATTCTTTCTGTTAGGTGCGCACATGACACCCACCACAGCAGGCCCCTTTGTTTGGATCCTGCCCAGGCCCAGGGATCTATGCAGTAGGCAGCATGGCGCAGAGCTAGCATCCATGCACGATTCAAAGCAGCCCTACCACACGCATGCATTGGCTGGGCTTCACACTCAATACCACGGGTACCTGAAGAGCGATCGGGGAACTGACTGCCTTTTTCTCAGGGGCCTCCTGCCCGCCCGGTGCCCATGAATAGGCAAGGTCTGAATCCTCTCAAACCGTACCCGTCTGCTGCAAAGAAAAGAGAGCTGAAGGGAGAGAGCTTGCAGGGCCGTCTGGGAGCGGCAGCAAGTGGGAGGTGCCTTTTCCCACTGCCATCGGGGGTGGGGTAAAGGGAGGGTATTGCATTGTCATTTATTCCTGTTCATAACATCTTCACCACAGTGACAGCTGAGACCAGGTGCACCCAAGGCCATATTCTGATGGACAGCACAACCTTGCGGAGAGAAGCTGGGGATTGCAGAAAAGAGCCGCTGTGCTTGTAACTTGCAGCAGAGCCTGGGGCAAGAAACACCATGTTTCCACAGGTGTTAGGACACAGACTACCTTTCATGCACTTACACTCTTGACCTGATTTCCCCAAGACTCCTGCTGACACCAGAGAGGCCTGTGTCCCCCAGACTTCTGGAAGTGAAGCCACTTTCTATTTAAGTGCCTAAATATTAGGGCTGTCAAGCAATTTAAAAAATTAATCACGATTAATCGTGTGATTAATCGCACTGTTAAACAATAATAGAATACCATTTATTTAAATATTTTTGGATCTTTTCTACATTTTCAAATATATTGATTTCAATTACACCACAGAATACAAAGCGTACAGTGCTCACTTTATATTTATTTTTGATTACAAATATTTGCTCTGTATAAAAACAAAAGAAATAGTATTTTTCAATTCACCTAATACAACTACTGTAGTGAAATCTCTTTATCATGAAAGTTGAAATTACAAATGTAGAATTATGTAAAAAAAAAACTGCATTCAAAAGTAAAACAATGTAAAATTTTAGAGCCTGCAAGTCCACTCAGTCCTACTTCTTGTTCAGCCAATTGTTCAGATTTGTTTACATTTGCAGGCGATAATGCTGCCCGCTTCTTGTTTACAATGTCACCTGAAAGTAAAAACAAGCGTTCTCATGGCACTGTTGTAGCTGGCGTCACAAGATATTTATGTGCCAGATGCACTAAAGATTCATGTGTCCCTTCATGCTTCAGCTACCATTCTAGAGGACGTGCGTTCACGCTGATGACGAGTTCTGCTCGATAACAATCCAAAGCAGTGCACACTGACACATGTTCATATTCATTATCTGAGTCAGATGCCACCAGCAGAAGGCTGATTTTCTTTTTTTTGTGGTTTGGGTTCTGTAATTTCTGCATTGGAGTATTGGTCTTTTAAGACTTCTGAAAGCATGTCCCACACCTCATCCCTCTCAGATTTTGGAAGGCACTTCAGATTCTTAAACCTTAGATCGACTGCTGTCTTTAGAAATCTCACATTGGTACCTTCTTTGCGTTTTGTCAAATCTGCAATGAAAGTGTTCTTAAAATGAACAACATGTACTAGGTTATCATCCGAGACTGCTATAACATGAAATATATGGCAGAATGCAGGTAAAACAGAGCAAGGGACATCGAACTCCTTGGCAGAGAATTGTGTCACAAGTTTAATTAACACATTATTTTTTTAACGAGCGTCATCAGCATGGAAGCATGTCCTCTGGAATGGTTTAGCATATCTGACACATAAATGCCTTGCAATGCCAGCAACAAAAGTCCCAAGCAAATGCCTGTTCTCACTTTCTGGTGACACTGTAAATAGGAAGTTGGCAGCATTATCTCCCATAAAAGTAAACAAACTTGTTTGTCTTAGCGATTGGCTGAACAAGAAGTAAGACTGAGTGGACTTGTAGGCTCTGAAGTTTTACATTGTTTTGTTTTTGAGTGCAGTTATGTAACAAAAAATTCTACATTTGTAAGTTGCACTTTCAGGACAAAGATTGCAGTACAGTACTTATATGAAGTGAATTGAAAAATATTATTTCTTTTGTTAATCATTTTTACAGTGCAAATATTTGTAATCAAAAATTATATACACTTTGATTTCAATTACAACACGAGAATATAATATAGATGAAAATGTAGAAAAACATCCAAAATATGTAATAAATTTCAATTGATTTTCTATTGTTTAACAGTGTGCTTAAAACTGCGATTAATCGGGATTAATTTTTTTTTCAATTAATCGCGTGAGTTAACTGTGATTAATCGGCAGCCTTACTAAATATGGATTGAGCTGCCCACCTTTAGGCACCAACACTTGGAAATGTTGTCTTTTACCTCTCCATGTGTCAGTTGCTTTCTCTATAAAATGAGGCTGCTGCTGACCAGCCCCCGTGAAAGCAAGGGCAGAGGCCAGGAAGCTGAATTAAACACTCCCAGCTTCCTCCTGGAAGTCTTGCTGTCAACTTAAACTCAACAAGGCCAAAACTGGGCTCCTGATCTTCCTTCCCTACCCCTTCATCTCAGCCATTGTCTACCCCTCCCTCCGGGGACCTTTGGCTCCTACCCATTCATCTCCCTACACTGGAATTTAGGCTATGGGAAAGAATCCTGCTGATTCTTCTTCTTCAGCATCACTAAGCTCTGCTCTTTTCTTTCTGCCCATACCACTAAAACCCTCAACCAGGCCCCCATCATCTCCTGCCTTGATATCTGCAGCCTCCCTGATACACACAATGCTGCTCAGTCCACACAACACAGCTGCTGAGATCATCTTTCTGGCCAGCTCATCACACGCCATCCCCTTGCATCTCTCGACTAGCTCTCCACCATCTTTGTATCAAATGTACATTTCTAGTGTTGCCCTTCCTATTCATCTATCCTAGTCTTTTATTACGCCATTTCCCACCCTTGTCACTCACCCTCAGTGCCCCGTTTGCATCTCCTACAACTCCCTCCTGCCCACGGAATACCCTTCCAAGCTAGTCCACCAGGCCTTTCCCCACTCCTTAGGAATCTGGTGGACCACCTACAAGGCATGAGTCAAAGACACTTGCCAAAAGGCACATAAATAAAGAAAAGCAGTGCCCTTAGCAGACCCTCTCTGCTGTGTACAAGCCGGTGTGGAACAGCTACATTGTCTTACTGCAACATGTTAGATACCACCTTTTCAGAGCAGGAGAACATTTTCGAAAGTTTCTGTATGTGACATGAAGGCGAATGGGACTTCTGAGCCATTTACGCACCCAGGAATTGTGACTCCCCAGGTGCACTAGGAGGGGCCTTGTGCACTTCTCGGGGCTGTAAAATAACAGTGCACAAAACAAACAATGGAAACGTTCACTACAGCAGAGACACAACGCCAGATCCAGGCTACCAAGCAGAGCCCACAGCTACCCCCAGCCTGAGAGAGTAAATGGACTTTCCAACATGCCCAGAAAGGCAGGACTCAAGTTCTGTCAGATCAACAGCCAAAGACCCAGCACCAAGCATGCCCTGCCCAGACCCAGGCCCAGAGAGTCAGATCTAGGGACTGTTGGCATGAGCAAATCATCTGACCTCAGCGCCTCGATGGAGCATGAGCAGCTTCCCCACTATCCAGCCATTCTGCACCTGCTGTAGCTCCTTCACAGCCCCAGGAGCCCTCACCCCTCCGAACAGCAAAAGGGGGAAGATTCATCCCCACATGTGTGCTAATGCAGGGATAGAGGGGAGGCAGCCTGTGCCTCTCCCATTTAGGGGCTGCCCTAACTTGTGCCAGTTGCAATGTTCCCTATGGGTCATTACAAGGGTGTAGAATTGCTGGGGCTCAGGGCTGAGCCAGCCGAACCTCCTCCTATCCTCAACTGCCCCCTCACTTCTCTGACCTATCCCCCGGAATGCACCCAGTGCTCAGAGCTCCTGCAAAGGTAGTGGTTCAGCTGTTGGGCCTGGCACACGGGCCCCTTCTCCATGGTGTATTCCCTATTTATTGAGCCGGGTGCTCATGCCTGCCCCATGGCCAGTCTAGCTGTCACAAAGGTCATAAAGCAGCAATGAATCTGGCCCAATGCCAGGTGTTCAGGACTGTGTGCTGTTCAGGAGGGCTGAGAAAGTGATTGTTGGCAGGAAAGGGGTAGGTAGGAGATTAGGGAATGAACAGGCTCTGAACCCCAGAGACATCCCCCATACTGATCAATGGACTTTCTGCCCTGTTAGACTTGACACTGCTGCCCTCTGGATGGCAGCACAGAGGGCATCATCCCTTCAAGCCCCAGTGGCCTCCCAGTCCTCCATGGGGCAGGCACCAAGGGTAGATGCAGAGAGAGGAGCTCATCATCAAGGGAGCTGTAGGCTCCTCTCCCATAAATGGGGAATGACCTCCTTAGAGCCAGCGGAACCGCATTGGCGGAGTATGTGAGATGGGAATCAAACCCATCACACACAAGAGCCAGACGTACAAGCGTGTTCCCCAGGTCACATTTTCGGAACATGAGGACGGCGGGGACTATTTAAAATGATAATTAGGAAAAGAGTATAACTGAGTGGGGAACATGCAACTATGCATGTTGTTCATCCATGGGGCAAGTCTCACACTGCGTCTGTTTAGTGCCCAGCGCACTGGAACTCCAATTTTGTCTGGAGTGCTGGTAGCTTCTATAATATGATAAATATTAACCAGGCCAAAAGTCATTGGGGAGGGTTCAGTAAGGAGATAGCCACACCTGGGAGAAACTGGATCAGTATGTCTAATACAGACAGAAAAGTCACTTCTGCCTGTTAATGTGACCTGGGGCTTCAGAATCAGTTGGGGATGCAGATGCATGTTACCCCAATATACAGACATCACTAACAAGGCAGGGGTTGCTCTCAGTCCTGGAGGCAGACACCGTCCCACCATGTTCTCCAGAACCCCAAAAGTCCCAAGTGCATAAAGCTGGCAGCCAAGAAAGCAGATGCCATGGGAACAGCTGCAGAGCAGCTCTCTCTCCCCTGCTCTACGTCTGCACAGCAGGATTCCCTCCTTCTCCAACAACTGCCTATTTTCAAAGGTTCTTTCCCCAAACACATCCAGGCACATGTACCTTCCTAAGAACCATCACGGCCAGGCTGCTGAACAGATGTCAGACAACAAGGCAGGTGAGGTAATATCTTCTATTGGACCAACTTCTGCTGGTGGAAGAGACAAGCTTTCGAGCAGATGTCAGACAGACATCAACTGGTTCTGCCATTTGGAAAGGGGTGGTCAGACTACTTGCACAAGGCAAGAAGTGCATTGTTTGACATGCCATAAACACAAGCAGCCTGAGGAAATTTGCTCAAACTTTCCAGAGCTCTCCCCTTTGGGCAGAGCCCAAGCCGAGAACACATCAGCTCAGAAGGGAGTGTGTGAAACTAAGGGCCTAAAATGAAGAATGGCTTCCCTAGAGGGGCACTCCCAGCACTGCACAGAATTCTGTCCAAATTGTACATTTAGTACAATTCTGTCCAAACTAACTTTTGCCCATGGCCCCTCCAGCTGCAGCTGGATCTCAGACAGGGAGGCCCTTCATTTCCATTGGTTCTGGCAAAACAGCAGCTTGAGGTCATACTGGTTCAAGTGCAAATGGCCCTGAATAAGGGCGGTGCAGAGCTGCTGGCCCCAGGAGACCTCTGGGAAGGACTGGGCCTGGGGCACAGAGAGACAACAGAAGCTCTTTGGCTAGCACATACTGCTTCTCTGTGTGCAGCCCAAGAACCACTACCCTGCCCCCTTTGCAGTGATTTGAAGTATCTTCCCAAACACAGAGAACAATAATCTCCTGAAGGGCTTTGACCAAATCAGAGAGAACAGGCAGTTCTAACACTCAGGAAATATTCTGCGCTATGGTACAGTAAAAATCATGATAAGGTGCTTCTAATGCAAGGAGGAGAGTGTAATGCAACAACATGGGCATGATCTGATCTCCCAGCAGCAGTTTTAAATAAAACTCTCCTTAGTAGAGGAAACTGCTCCTTGGACTCCACCATCCAGAATCCTGAGCAGGAAATTGCTGCATCTCTTCAGAGAGTGCAAACAAGCCAGGAGGCTTGTCACCTGCAAATCCCAAGGCCTTCACCTTTCCCTCTTAAAACAGTCTGTGTGCACAATATGCCACGTCTTACCTTCTGATGGTTTGGGTGATGGAGGTCTGTCGTTGTAGCATGGGCCGCCGCACCTCGTTTGGCGGGGAGGGGATGCGGGTGTTCTCAGCAGGCATGCTGACACTTCTCAGGAAGGCCTGGCGTTTAAATGGCTGCAAAACAAGTGGGGAGCATTTCAGTGCCCCAGCATTCATGCTGCACGTTCATTCCCTAGCAAAACCCAACAGGGACATGAAACACAAAGAAGCCAACAGTATGGCAGCTTCCCTAGCCAAGAGCTGTTTGTACACTGTAGTGTAGGGCACTGTAGGGCACTTATAGCTCATGGGCTTTGCTACAGTTCTGAGTAGGTGAGAGAGATGTATCACCTATGGTCAGGGCCTCTCTCCCTACACACACCCAGGCTCATAGGGCTGCATTCTTAGAACTGGGCACTAGTCACATGAGCGAGGAGACGGACTTCGCCATCGTATCCAAAACACAAGACCTGGTAGTAATATAGGACTTTAAGTACCCAGACATCTGTTGGAAAAGTAATACAGCAAAACACAAAATCTCCAGTAAGTTCCTGGAGTGCACTGGGGACAACTTTTTGCTTCTGAAAGCGGAGGAAGTAACCAGGGGCATAGGAATTTTAGACTTCAATCTGACCAGCAGGGAGGAATTGGTAGCGAACCTGAAGGTAGAAGGTAATATAGGTGAAAGTGACCATGAAATGACTGATTTCATAACTCTAAGGAAAGGAAGGAGTGAGAGCAGCAGAACAAGGACAATGGACTTAAAAAAAAGCAGCCTTTACAAACTGAAAGAAGTGGTAGGTAAGGTCCCATGGGAAAAAAATCTAAGGGAAAAAGGAGTTCAGGAGAGTTGGCAGTTTCTCAAGGAGACAATATTAAAGGCACAACAGCAAATTATTCCAATGTGAAGGAAGATAGGAATAATAGTAAGAGGCCAATATGGCTCCATCAGGAGCATTTTAATTACCTGAAAATCAAAAAGAAACCCTATAAAAAGTATCAGGGGGTAGCCATGTTAGTCTGTATCCACAAAAACAACAAGGAGTCCGGTGGCACCTTAAAGACTAATAGATTTATTTGGACAAAAGCTTATGCCCAAATAAATCTGTTAGTTGTTAAGGTGTCACCGGACTCCTTGTTGTTCCTATAAAAAGTGGAAACATGGATGAATTGCTAAGAACAGCACAAGCAGGTAGGGACAAAATTAGAAAGACTAAGGCACAAAATGAGTTATGACTTGCAAGGGACATAAAAGACAATACGAAGAGGTTCTTTAAATATATTAGGAGCAAGAGAAAGACGAAGGAAAGGGTAGGTCCTCTACTTAGTGGGGAAGAAGAGCTAATAATGGCTGGCATGAAGAAGGCTGAGGTGTTTAATGCCCATTTTGTTTCAGTCTTCACTAAAAAAGTTATGATGACTGTAACGCTCCCTCATGGCCATGGGTATGTCTGCAGTGCCCCACCCATTTCCCTTTTTCAGGGCTCCTTGGACAAACCACACAGTCTTTCTCCTCCAATTATAGCCCTTCTTGGGGTCTGTTTTCTTTATTTACAAAGCTCCAAAAAAAGCAAACACAAAAAAGGAATTTTCCCACTCACTCACAGAGCCCCCCACAAATCTGTCCCAAGGCCTGGCTCTTACCTCAGAGCCTGCGGGGCAGAAATGGTTTCTTCACAGAGCCTATCATCAGTTTGCATCTACCCTACCCAAGCTGACTCCCTTGCAGCTTCTCAAGTGTCAGTCTCTCCCCCCAGAACTGCTTCAGCTCTCTCATAAGGAACCAGCTGCTTGGGGTTCCTTCCCTGCAACAGGTGTCTCTGACTGGCTCATTTAGCAAGCCTGCTCCAGGATTCAAGTCTTCTGCAGGCAGCTCCCTCGCTCCCTTTGCTCTCTCGCAGTGATCAGATACTCAACCCAATTAATATTAAAACAACAAGGGGGAAGGAACAAAAGCCAAAATAGGGAAAGAACACGTTAAAGAATATTTAGACAAATTAGATGTATTCAAGTTAGCAGGACCTGATGTACTTCATCCTAGAGTACTCATGGAACTAGCTGAAGCTGTCTCAGATCTATTAGCAATTATCTTTGGCAAACTCATGGGAGGACAGGTCAGGTCCCAGGCAATTGGAGAAGATGATACATCGTAACTGTCTTACAAAGGGGAACAAAGAGGACTCAAGAAATTATAGACCAGCCTAAATTCAATCCCTAGAAAGACAGAGGAACAAATTATTAAACAATCAGTTTGTAAGTACCTAGAGCAGGGGTGGGCAAACTACGGCCCGCGGGCCGGATCCGGCCCCTCAGGGCTTTGGATCCGGCCCGCGGGATTGCCCCCTGTGGCGCCGCAGGCCCGGTGCCGCTCTCAGAAGCGGGCGGGGGGGGAGAGGGCTCCGTGTGCGTTGCCCTTGACTCCAGGCACCGCCCCCCACAGCTCCCATTGGCCGGGAACGGGGAACCGTGGCCAATAGGAGCTTCGGGGGAGGTACCTGGAGGCACGGCAAGGGCAATGCATGCAAAGCCCTCCGCTCCCCCTCCCCCCGAGGCCGCAGCACTTCCTGGAGCGGCGCGGGGCCGGGGCCAGGGACACGGCAGGCAGGCAGGGAGCCTGCCCTGGACCCAGTGAGTGCCGCTGCCACCCCGGAGTTGCTTTAGGTAAGAGGCGCCGGGCTGGAGGTCAAACCCCTCCTGCACCCCGCCCCCCAACTCCCTGCCCTAAGCCCCCTGCCTACACCCTGCACCCCTCCTACACCCCAACTCCCTGCCCTGAGTCCCCTCGTACATCCCGCACCCCTCCTGCACCCCAACCCCCTGCCCTGAGCCCCCTTGTACACCCTGCACCCCAACCCCCTGCCCTGAGCTCCCTGCTGCACCCTGAACCCCTGTGCACCCCCAACCCCCTGCCCTGAGCCTCCTGCTGCACTCCGCAACCCAACCCCTGCCGAGCCCCCTCATACACTCCGCACCCCTCCTCTGCTCCAATCCCTTGCCCTGATCCCCTTCCTGCACAACAACAATCCCTCCCACACCCCGCACTCCCTGCCCTGGCCCTGCATACAATTTCCCCACCCAGATGTGGCCCTCGGCCCAAAAAGTTTGCCCACCCCTGACCTAGAGGATAACAGGGTTATGAAAGGAATAGTCAGTATGGATTTGTCATGAACAAATCATACCAAACCTTCTTTGAAAGGGTTAATAGCCTAGTAGATAGAGGAGAAGCATTATATATGATCTTTCTTGATTTTAGTAAGGCTTTTGACACTGTAAGGACATAAGAATGGTCACACTGGGTCAGACCAATGGTTCATCTCGCCCAGTATCTTGTCTTCCGACAGCAGCCAATGCCAGATGCTTCAGAGGGAATGAACAGAATGGGGCAATTATCAAGTGGATCCATCCTGTTGTTCAAATCCAGCTTCTGGCAGTCAGATAATTAGGGACATCGAGAGCACAGGGTTGCATCCCTGACCATCTTGGCTAATAGCAATAGTTGGACTATCCTCCATGAACTTCTCTAATTCCTTTTAAACCCAGTTATACTTTTGGCCTTCACAACATCCCCAGGCATTGAGTTCCACAGGTTGGCTCTCCGTTGTGTGAAGTACTTCCTTTGTTTGTCTTAAACCTTCTTCCTCTTCAATTTCATTGGGTGACCCCTAGTTCCCATGTTATGTGGGGTAAATAACACTTTCTTACTGACTTGCTCCACATCATTCATGATTTTATAGATCTCTATTATATCACCCCTTTGTCATCTCTTTTCTAAGATGAACAGTCCCAATCTTTTTAATCTCTACTCATATGGAAGCTGTTTCATACCCCTAATCATTTTTGTTACCCTCTTCGTACCTTTTCCAATTAAGATATTTCTTTTTTGAGATGGGGCAACCAGAACTACGGTCAGTGTAAAGGTGTGGGTTACCATGGATGTCTATAGTGGCATTATTATATTTTCTGTCTTATTATCTATCCCTTTCGTAATAGTTGCTAACATCGTTAGCTTTTTTGATTGCTGTTGCATATTGAGCAGATGTTTTCAAAGAACTATCCGTGATGTCTCCAAGGTCACTTACTTGAGTGATAACAGCTAATTTAGTACGTATAGTTGGATTATGTTTTCCAATTAACATTACTTTGCATTAATCATTATTGAATTTCATCTGCCATTTTGTTGCCCAATCACCCAATTTTTTGAGATCCATTTGCAACTCTTCACAGTCAGTTTTGGACTTAACTATCTTGAGTAATTTTGTATCATCTGCGAACTTTGCCACCTCATTGTTTACCCTCTTTCCCAGATCATTTATGAATATGTCCTTGGGGGAAACCACCAATTACCTCTCTCCATTGTGAAAACTGACCATTTATTTGTTTCCTATCTTTTAGCCCGTTACTGATCCAGGAGATGATCTTCCCTCTTATCCCATGACAGCTTACTTTGCTTAAAAGCCCTTGGTGTGGGACTCTGTCAAAGGCTTTCTGAAATTCCAAGTACACTATATCAACTGGTTCATCCTTGTCCACATGTTTGTTGACCCCCTCAAAGAATTTTAATAGATTGATGAGGCATGATTTTCCTTTACAAAAGCCATGTTGACTCTTCCTCAACTATCGTGTTCCTCTATGTGTCTGATAATTCTGTTATTTTCTATAGTTTCACCAATTTGCCTGGTACTGAAGTTAGACTTACCAGCCTGTAATTGCCAGGATCACCTCTAGACCCTTTTTTAAAAATCAACTTTGCATTAGATATCCTCTAGGCATCTAGTATAAAGGCTTATTTAAGCAATAGGTTACATACTACAGCTAGTAGTTCTGCAATTTCATACCTGAGTTTCCTTCAGAACTCTTGGGTGAATACTATCTGGTCCTAGCGACTTATTACTGTTTAATTTATTAATTTATTCCAAACCCTTCTCTATTGACACCTCAATCTGGGACAGTTTCTCAGATTTGTCACATAAGGAATCTCCCTCACAGCCTCTCCAGTGAAGACAGATGCAAAGAATTCATGTAGCTTCTCCGCAATGGCCTTATCTTCCTTGACTGCTCCTTTAGCACCTCAATCATCCAGTGGCCCCCTGACTGTTTAGCAGGCTTCCTGCTTCTGATGTACTTTAAAAAAAAATTGCTGTTAGTTTTTGTGTCTTTTGCTAGTTGCTCTTCAAATTCTTTTTCAGCCTGCCTAATTATATTTTTACATTTGACTTGCCAGAGTTTATGCTCCTTTCTAATTTCCTCATTAGGATTTGACTTCCAATTTTTAAAGGATGCCTTTTTACCTCTAACCACCTCTTTAACTCTGTTGTTTAGCCCTGGGGGGCATTTTTTGGTCCTCTTACTGTTTTGTTCTTGTTGTTTTTATTTGGTGTATATATTTAGTTTGAGACTCTATTATGGTATTTTTAAATATTTTCCATGCAGCTTGCAAGCATTTCACTCGTGACTGTTCCTTTTATTTTTTTCTAAAACTAGCCTCTTAATTTTTGTGTAGTTGCCCTTTTTGAAGTTAAATGCGACCGTGGAGAGTTTCAATGGTATTTCCCCCCTACAAGCACATTACATTTAGTTACATTATATTCACTATTACCGAGCAGTTCAGCTATTTTCAACTCTTGGACCAGATCCTGTGCACTTTAGGACTCTGTGACTTAGGACTAAATCAAAAATTGCCTCTCCCCTTGTGCATTCCTGGACTAGCTGCTTCAAGAAGCAATCATTAAAGGTGTCTAGAAATTTTATCTCTACATGAGGTGACATGTACCCAGTCAATATGGGAATAGTTGAAATCCCTCATTATTATTGGGTTTTCTGTTTTTATAGCCTCTCTGATCTCCCTGAACATTTCACAATCACTGTCACCATTCTGGTCAGGTGGTCGATAGAACATTCCCTACTTCTATACTCTTATTATTCAAGCATGGAGATTAGTCCCACATGACTTTCTCTCGAGCAAACCACGAAATACATTCTAGATTAAATTACTATAAAGTGGGGGCACAACTGGTTGAAAGACTGTACACAAAGCGTAGTTATCAATGGATCACTGTCAAACCAAAAAGTCATATCTAGTGGGGTGCCGGAAAAGTCAGTCCTGGGTCTGGTACTATTCAATGTTTTCATTAATGACCTGTGTAAGAGAGTGGAGAGTATGCTTATGAAATTTGCAGATGACGCCAAATTGGGAGGGGTTGCAAGCACTTTGAAAAACAGAATTAGAATTCAAAATGACCTTGACAAATTGGAGAATTGGTCTGAATTCAACAAGATGAAATTCAATAAAGATAAGCCAAGTATTTTGCACTCAGGAAGAAAACAATCAAATGCACAAACAGAAAATAGGGAATAACTAGTTAGGTGGTAATACTGCTGAAAAGGGTCTGGGGTGATAGTGGATCACAATTTGAATATGAGCCAACAATGTGATGCAATTAAATAATGACTAAATACCATTCTGGCAATGGTGTAGTTCTACTCGGAAAGGGAGAAATTTCCAGTGGGTTGGGTGAATGTCGACGTGGACATGGACAGCCTTCATATCAAGAGCTGCGAACCAGGCTCCGTGGGGAATGGAGGGAATAATAGATGCCAGCATCACCATATAGAACTTATGTATTTAATTCTTAACTACCCTTTATCAATAGTTATTGTACAGGCTATTCCTACCTTACTTCCTGTACTAAACATCTTCTCACTATTTTTGTTGTTGTTGAAGACAAGATTAAAAAGAAGAATTCACTATCAGCTATTTATGAATTGTTAATTTCATCCCATCCTCACTTATTAATGGAACTACTTTCTTCCGAGTTCCTCTCTGCCCTTGATATATATGTAACCATCCCATTCCCATTTCTTCATTCTCCCTGGCACTTAGTCCATTGTGTGGCTCTTAGGATCCATTGGGTTCTTGCTGATTTCCCATGCTCCTGGCATTCTGACATGTTAACACTCCACTTACTCTTCATCTTTTCTTTCAGGACAACCCATCTTCTGCTTCCCTTTGTCTGTTGGAAGGTACAATTCAGATCACCCGACTTAAATGAAGCTCTCGTTTCCATCCTTACCCCTGTAACTTAATAACCATTTAATATGCCCTACCTGTTTTGTATCTAGGAGGCCATTGTCCCTAGACCATATAATGCGAACAGGCTCCCATCACAGTAGAGTCCAAAGCTCTAAGCATCCAAATCCCTTCCCATTGTGTGTACAGACTACACTGAACTCACATATTCATTCCTTATGCCCCTTCCCGATCTTTGTACGTTACTCATACCAGTACCTGCACAAAGGTGGGTTCCTCAGGCATTGCCACAGAGACTGGCACTGGTATGTCGAGTTTGAGCCATGGTGGCTTCTTCCGCTGTAAACTGCTTGTGCTGTCACGCCGCACTTCAGACATCTTCCTGTCTCAGTCCTCAGGCCTGAGGGAAAGAGAAGAGATCATTGAGTTTGGAAGGAGTCCATGCCGTTCATTGGTCAGGCAGATCTCGCCTTTTATCATGCATGCTAAGTGGCTGTGAACAGCTAGCGATTCACTCAAATTCTGTCCCTAGTTAGCTGATTTGCTGAGTACTTTCTGTGACTAATCTGCTGCTGCAGTTTTGTGAGCAGTTGGCTATGGGTATTCAAAAGTCAGCTTCCCAGCGGTGCTGGCCAGCTCTGATTAGACACCCAGATCATCACATGGCATGTTTCTGTTCTCCAATCGGAGGCAGGGAACACCTAGAATTAGGTTTCCAGAGTCAACGTTAAGTTGTGGTTTTAAAATTCACTTTCCATTAACACTGTCTGAGTTTTGCTTAATAGCCATTGTTTCCTCAAGGACTGGGGGTGGAATACCATTTATTTGGACCTGGGTCTAATCCAACCAATGGACCCTCTCAACAAATCAAAGCCATCAACCTCACTCTGAAAACTCCTTGTGATTCATGTCCTTTCCCTAGCCAAGCCTGAGCCAAGAACTGTATTTCTGACTTTGGCAAACACTAATTAACTATTATTGTCTTAAAATTATATTTTATTTAACTGTTTATAAAAAAACCAACCACATACTGACCCCAGGAAAGATGAGCCCAGTGTGCAAACTATAGAAGCTCATCAAATCCAGGTTAAATCCAGGATAGAGTGATAGTCATATGGGAATAGTATAGAAATAGCATTAAATAAAAATCACTGTGGTTAATTAAATGTTTTAACAACAAAGTGACAAATTACTAGATGTTATGCCCTTTTCCCCTGTCCTTTGCCTTTTTGAGTTGAGCTCTTCCTGGCAGGGATTGTGTTTGGAAAGTGCCTGGCACACTGTGTGTGCAATAGAAACAGAAACAAATCATCATCCTCATCAATTATTTCTATATACAAATTTATAAATATACCAAGCCCTTTATACAAATTTGTTTTCTGTCTCAGCATCCTCAGTGCGGTAGGCTGTGGAGAATGCAGAAATGCAATGTTTCTGTAAATACAAGCTAGCAATTATTGTATTGTGTACTGTGGCCAGTTCTGGGCACCACATTTCAGGAAAGATGTGGACAAATTGAAGAAAGTCCAGAGAAGAGCAACAAAAATGATTAAAGGTCTAAAAAACATGACCGATGAGGGAAGATTGAAAAAACTGGGTTTGTTTGGTCTGGAGAAGAGAAGGCTGAGGGGGAATATAACAGTTTTCAAGAACATAAAAGGTTGTTACAAGGAGGAGGGAGAAAAATATGAATGTGACAACAGGCCCAATTCTCCTTGCACTTACTTGGGTTAGAATCATAGACATATAGGACAGGAAGGGATCTCGATAGATCATCTAGTCCAGTTCCTGCATTTCTAGACCCTGCATATCTAGACCATCTCCGACAGGTGTTTGTCTAACCTGTTCTTTAAAAACCTCCAATGAAAGATGAAGATTCCACAACCTTCCTAGATAATCTATTCCAGTGTTTCACCACCCTTACAGTCGGGAAGTTTTTCCTAATGTCTATCCTAAACCTCCCTTGCTGCAATTTAAGCCCATTGCTTCTTGTTTTGTCCTCAGGGATTAAAGAGAACAATTTATCACCCTCCTCTTTATAACAACCTTTTACATACTTGAAGACTTATGTCCCACCTCGGTCTTCTCTTCTCCAGGCTAAACAAACCCAATTTTTACAATCTTTCCTTGTTGGTCATGTTTTCTAAACCTTTAATCATTTTTATTGCTCTGCTCTGGACTTTCTCCAATTTGTCCACATCTTTCCTGAAGTGTGGAGCCCAGGAATGGATACTATACTCCAGTTGAAGCCTTATCAATGCTGAGTACAGTGGAAGAAATTACTTCTTGTTTATAACACTCCTGATACGTCCCATAATGATGTTCACTTGGGGGGGGGGGCAACAGAATTACATTGTTGACTCATATTTAGTTTGTGATCCACTATAACCCCCAGATCTCTTTCTAAAGTACTCCTTCCTCAGGAATCATTTCCCATTTTGTATTTATGCAATTGATTATTCCTCATGTTGAAATCAGAGGACTTGGTACCCCTCCCAGCTTGGTATCATCCACAAACTCTATAAGTGTACTCTCTATGCCATTATCCAAATCATTTATGAAGATATGGAATAGTACTGGACACAGGACAGATCCTTGCAGGCCCCTTCCAGCTCAACTGTGAGCCACTGGTAATTACTCTCTGAATATGGTTTTCCAGCCAGTTCTGCACCCACCTCATAGTAGGTTCATCAAGGCTATATTTCTCTAGTTTGTTTATGAGAAGATAATATTAGACCGCATTAAAAGCCTTACTGAAGTCAAAATATATGATATCTACCGCTTCCCCCCGTCCATGAGGCTTGTTACCTTGTCAAAGAAAGATATTTGTTTGGTTTAACATAATTTATTCTTGACAAATTCATGCTGACATTTATTTTCTTCTGGGTGCTTACAAATAGAATGTTTGATCATTTGTTCCATTATCTTTCTGGGTATTGAAGTGAAGACGACTGGTCTATAATTTCCTGGATTGTCCTTATTCCCCTTTTTATAGATAGGTACTATATTTGCCCTTTTCCAGTCCTCTGGTATCTCTTCAGTCCTCCATGAGTTCTCAAAGATAATCGCTGATGGTTCAGAGATCTCTTCAGCCAGTTCCTTATGTATTCTAACGTGTAATTCATTAGGCCCTGCTGACTTGAAGACATCTAATTTGTCTAAGTAGGGTTCTCTACTAATATCTCCATGGGCCCTACCTACCACAGCAAGGGTGAGGAAGAGGTGGAGCCCTGGCCCATCCTCTCCACACAGTGGATGTGGAGGGGACTGTATGTTGAACGAATACCTTCAAACCACAATGTGTCCCTTTTGCAAGAATCTAAGACACAGACACAAATCTGGAGAGAGGTCTCCTGTCAGATTACTAAGAGTTCATTAATTTTACAAAATATAGTGCAGTAAATTCATTGGAAAATGACACCTTATCAAGGGATTAAAATTGAACCACCACTGCCAAGTACTGGGTATTATACTGCATTTCTGTAGTTTGCTTGTGGGCTGTTCTGAGAAACGGTGCCATATAACTGTATAAATGGTTACAGTTATATGAAGTGTGAAGGGAGAAATGGGTCACCATGAGCTGATGGATAGCAGCTTGGATTCGGTAGTGAGCCCAAGATGAACAGGAGAAAGACAGACATTGGGTGTCTTGCTTTGTGCTGGCTTCCAGCCCAGGCTTCTGGACCCTTGTGGAGCTGATATTATGGAACTGGACATGGATGAGCAGACTAGATCCAGTTTGGCCTGGTTGAGAGGATTGGGTTTCAGTAAAGTCTCAGGCCCCCAAAAAGCCAGGGAATTTATAACTGAGCCCATGGAGTTGGCCATGCCCTTCGTACACACTTTGGGGTTTGGCTAATTTTATTTTATTGTGTTAAGAAACATCTATCTTGTTTACTGAATAAAAAAGACTCATGTTTCCTATTTCCAGGCCTCCCCTGTGCTCACAAGTGGTGAAAAAACACCTGTAAGAGGGTCCCGATGGTTAGATTATAAATTTCTAAAATCTGGGCGTGAACAAGGTGTCAGGTGGGACTTGAACTGACCATTTTATTTATTTTAAAAGGGACCCTTGATGTCCTATTGAACCTGGCTCTTGTTACTCCCGTTGCTGCCTAGCAGAAGGGTTACATTGGCAGAGTTTATATGAGCCATTTGTCCATCTCCAGCCTTCTCATGAAAATCTGGCAGGTGGCAAAAGACAGTAGCAGGGACAGCAACATATAGGAGGGAAATCACTTAAGCATCACTTAAGGACAAAGAACCTCATCCAGTAAACTCTGCATCACAACTTCTGACTTTTAGACCGATATCCAGCCTTGATTTAAAGACTTCAAGGTGATGGAGAATCCACCATGTCCCTAAGTAAGTTGTCCCAGTGATTAAATACCCTCACTGTAAAAAATACTTTATCTCCAGTTTGAATTTTTTTAGCTTCAGCTTCCAACCTTTGTGTCTTGTTTTGCCTTTATCTCCAAGATTAAAGAGCCCTCTACTATCAGAAATGTCTTCCCCATGTAGATCATGACCACATCACCTCTTAACCTTCTCTTGGATAAACTAAGTACATTGAAAAAAGAACAGAAGTACTTGTGGCACCTTGGAGACTAACACATTTATTTGAGCATAAGCTTTCGTGGGCTACAGCCCACTTCATCGGATGCCTGCAGTGGAAAATACAGTAGGAAGATATATATATACACACAGAAAACATGAAATAATTGGTGTTACCATACACACTATAACAAGAGTGATCAGTTAAGGTGAGCTATTATCAGCAGGAGAGAAAAAATACTGTTTGTAGTGGTAATGAAAATGGCCCATTTCCAGCAGTTGACAAGTTGTTAGTCTCTAAGGTGCCACAAGTACTCCTGTTCTTTTTGCGACTACAGACTAACACGGCTGCTACTTTAAGTACATTGAGCTTCTTTAGTCTCTCACTGAGGCAGGTTTTCCAGACCTCCAGCCATTCTGGTAGCTCTTTTCTGAACCCTTTCCAATCGGTCAACATACTTTTCAATTGCAGACAGCAGAAATAGACACAGTGGTTAGTAATGGCCTCACTAATGCCATATAAAGAAATGATGCCACGTCCTTACTTCCACTCAGTGTTCTCCTGCTGCTACATGCTGATGTGGTCTGTTAGGCATTAAAAAGCTACAGATTCCTCTAGCTCCAGGAATAGAGACCATCTTGCACCAGCAATCGTATCAGTCAACTAGTATGTACAATAACCTCCAGAATGATGGCAGCCACTTGCACTGCTTCACATACCCAAGGGCACCATAAAGGAATGTGGGTGTTAGTTCTCACGCACACCCTTACTGCTGTCCTTGGTATCAGAGCTGTACTAATTCCAAGCCAGGACAAACCAGCAGGGAGGCTGGAGATTAATACTGA